ATGTTATGAGAACGAGTTTGGGAACTCGTTCGTTTCAGACGCAGAGGTCAGCTAGAGAAGGCAGTACTGTTGTTTGCCGATCATTTCGCTGCTGCCACACTCTTCCCTCCTCCCTCCCTTTTCCCCCCCGTCCCTCCCTCGCTCACTTCCCTCCTCCCTGCTCCTTCCCTCTCGCCCTCCCTCTCCTCGGGCCCCTGGGGAGCCCGCCCCGCGCACCCCCCCCCCCCCGCCAGGCGTGAGGGGGTCAAGGCGCGCTCCCCTCTGCGGCCGGTGCCCGGCCCTGGCCGCTGCGGCAATCCGCGCGGCGGCTGGCGCGGGGAGGGAGGCCCGCCGAGGGCAACTGGGGCGCACGCGTCGGGGGTCTCGGGGGAGGGCCCCTCCTCCTCCTCCTCCTCCTCCTCCTCCTCCTCTCCTCCTCCTCCTCCTCCTCCTCCTCCTCCTCCTCCTCCTCCCCCTCCTCCCCCTCCTCCTCCTCCTCCTCCTCCTCCTCCTCCTCCTCTTCCTCCTGGGCGTTATGTCCTCGGTCGCGGCCTCCGGGGCCCATGCTCGGGCCCGGGGGGGCGTGAAGGAAAGGGTCTGAGGCGGCATGCTGCGGGCCTCTTGGGGCTGCGCACGGAACAAAGCGGATCGTCGGATCGGAGAAGGAGTGACGGGCTGGGCCTGTTTTCCACCACCACCACGCTAAGTCGGAGGGGGGAAGGAGGTGCAGGATGGCGATGAGGAGGAGGAGGAGGAGGAACAAGAGGGGGACGAGGAACCCCCTCCCCCTCCTACTTATGGAGGTGGTGGTGGAAAACAAGCCCACCAGGGAGGAGGAAGCATGGAGGGCCGGGCGGAAGAGGCCTGGGAGGATTGTTGTCCCTGGCAAGCGTTGGTATTCGACAGCCTGATGCGGAGAAGGTCAGAAGATGCATCTGCGTATAGCCCTGTGAACGGAGGCCTGGTAGGCGGAGGAGGAGACGGAGGAGGAGGAGGAGGAGGAGGAGGAGGAGGAGGAGGAGGAGGAGGAGGAGGAGGAGGATGGAGGAGGATCAGGCGGAGGAGGTCAGGGAGGAGGAGGGAAAGCACGGCTACGGCCAGTTGGCCCGTAATCAAGACAAACGTACATTATGTATCATTGTGTTCCCAAGTTATTTCTAGGATGCATTACCCAGGGACCTCGAATCACCCAATTGCGTGCCAAACCCTACCTATGTGCTCAACTACCTCAGGCGTGTGAGACAGCGTGCTCCCCCTCCAGTGAACCTAACGGCGTGTTAGAGCTGCGTGTGAGATGACCCTTGAGGCGTGTGAGAGGAGGCGTGTGAGGGATGCATAGCATGATTGATGATAGGAACACGGTTGCCAAGCTCGTTCGATGCTCTGCCACAGACTCCCAGCCAAATTTGAATAATCGTCCATTGTGATATCATTGGGCCTAGAAAGAGCATAGTCCCTTCGCATAGTTCGCGATATGCGGGGACACCTCCCCGTCGATCTCATTCTCCGTCACCTGGCTCCTGTAGTGCACGATTGCCTTGCGAAGCTTCCGAGTCACGCTGCCCGCCTCCGTGTGCGCATCCAGCATGAGGGTTGCGAACGTGGTCGCGAGGCCTTTCTTTAAGCATTGTCGATTGGAGGGTACAGTCAAGATGCTGACATAAGGGCCCCCTCTGGGCTCATGATCACTCAGGATGGTCTTTGTGTTTCGTTTCGTTCCCTGGCTCCAGGTTAGGGGACCTATTCGTGGCCGAGGCTAGCTGTGTCCAGAGAATCCCCCTCCTGGTGCCTCACTCAGCGCCCCTCCAAGTATGACGATGGCTGCAGGCGGGGAGGGGGATCGGCGCCGCGCAAGTTCAGGAGGGGAAGAAACACACAGACACAATGAATCGTCGACTCCCTGGAAAATATGCGAGAATATGGGAAGTGGGGGAAGACGAAAACCCATAACATCTGAGAAAACATGGGGAATCCTGTTATTTGTGTCTATTTATGTGCATGTCCCTGTGCCCCTTGGAAGGTGGGGCAGGGCGAGGGGGTCGGCCCATCCAAGAAGGCAAGGCGCCCCGCCTCCTGGAGGCCCTCCCGCCTCCCAAGGGCCGTCTCAGAGCGGGTCGGTCCCCTCTGAGGGGGCCCACCGACATCAACCGCCGGTCCGTTCGCCTCGCCCCCTCCTGTTCGTAGTTGGGAAAAGGCGGGGAGGAGTGGGGGGGGGGGGGCTGGGCTGCCCATCGTTCGAGTGGTTCGGTGGGCGAAGGGCGGGGTGAAAGAGTGTTAGGGAGAGGACGAGAGGAGGGCATTGGAAGCCGAGTTCCAGGTGCCTGGGAAGATTCTGGATACCTCATCCTCCTCCCCCTCATCCTCCCCCCCCCCTCTTTCCTCTCCTCGTTGGCTTCTGGGGGGCGGTGTCGCTGTGCTGCTCGCGAAGCCCCCTCAGTTTTGTTGGCCAGCCACTCTGGCAGGGTCCCTCAAAAGGCAGGGGGGGAAGAGATTGGGGAAGGGGGCTGGGGGGATGCATGGAAGGGGGTGGTAAGGCGGAGTGACGAATGTGCATGCGTCGTCGGGAGGTCCCTTGCCGCCCTCCGCACCTTTGCCGCCCCTCTCCCGAACTCCTAACCCGTCTTAGCAAAATCCGCCTTGTCCTTCCTGCCCTCCCCCGCCTTCTACTGATCCGCTTTGCTCCTCTCCTCCCTCCCCTCACAGCAGGCCTTTCCCCTCCTTAATGTATCCTCCTCCTCCTCCTCCTCGTCCTCCTCTCTCTTCCGCCTCCCTCCTCTTTTCTCTTGCCCTCTATCCCTCCTCAGCCTCCTCGGGCTCCTGCTCTCTCCTCGTTCCTCGTTCTTCCTCACCTTCATCTAGGCCCTCTGTCGCAGTGGGGAAGATGTATGGGAAAGGGCTTCGAACTGCGCTTTCACCACAGCTGACTGGCCGCCCCGCCGCGGCGCGCTGAGCTAAGCCCCCTCCTTTGAGGGCCCTTGGCGGAAAATGTGTGGCACCTCGTTGTCCTCCTTATCCTCCTTTTGAAGAGCGGCACCAACGTCACAAGCTTTTGCTGTCGGTGGTCCGCGCGGATTTCCTGGTCGTCGTTGGATCCACCCGGCGGCGCCTCCGGCGCGGCCCCTGGCGGACTTCGTGTGCCAGTACGAGGTTGTCCAGCGCCGACGCAGGACACCCATGCGATCCACCGACCGTGTATATGTATGCCGGTGATCGCTGCTACATCCTTCTCCTTTTCCTCGTCTTCTTTTCATTATTGACATGTCTTCCCGCTCGATCCCTGGTCATGCACATCCTCATGCTCTTCGCCTGCAATGCCCCCCATCCAGCCACATCGCTCCTGCACCTCTTCACCTCCGCCTTCTCCCCCTCCCCCCTGGACGACAATCACGTGCTGTTTATGATCTTCGAGACCGTCAAGAGCTCCAAGATCGTCACCAACAAGCAGGTCGTGGACTTCGGTTTCCGCGACAGGGCCCTACCGGACCAGAGGATTGGGATAATAATACTGCATAGTATAGTAGTGGGGAGTGCTGTTTGTTTTCGGTTGTTGGGCTATTGTTTGTTCGTGTGCTCGCCCTGGAGGCGCGCACGGAACTCGATAAATAGTTGAATGTTCCGTTTGTTGTCGTTGTCTTGTGCGATTTGCGTTGATGGGCGGAGTGCTCCGATTACTGCCGCGGTCTGGCGGTGTCTCCTTGGAGGGGCAACAGTGCTGGCGGAGCTGGTGTAGTGAGAAGGCCGCGATCCCGCAGTACCCCGCGCCTTCATTCGGACCCGCGCAGCGGGAATGCATGTCCAATCTGGCGCCACGAAGAAGACCGCGCGCTGCGGAGTACCTCGGCTTCACCTTCGGCTCCAACAGCGTGGGTATCTCATGGCGCCGCTACAGGATTTAACGACAGGACCGCCATGTTGGTGGAGCTCGGCTGCGGCTTCCAGCTCACGTTGCTCGCTGCCATAATATACCTCGTGTTTGTGCTTGGGTTCATGGAGTAGCCTCTTCCCGCCCCGCCAGAGCGGCCCGCAGTCGAACGGTAGGCGGTTGCTCGTATGTTCCCCGGCCCGAGAGGGTGGAATTCACCGCCATTCTTCAAGGGCGCCCTCGAGGGCACGAATTTATTCGCGCTTCGCGTTGCGGCTCCGATCCCTCATCCTCCTCTTCTCCCCTGGGAGGCGGCGCGAGAGCGCGAAGTTATTCGCGCTTCGCGCAGCGCGTAGCGCGAAGTTGGGAGCCCTTGCTTCTTGCGAGACCCCAATCCGATGGGGCTCTACAGTAGCATTCCTGATTTTGCGATGCTCTCGCTTGCGTCCCGATTCCGCATGGCCCGGTACGAAGCGAGAAACGAGGGCAGCCTCCAGACGACGCGCAGGGCCCGCGAGTTACGAGTGGCTGTGGCAGGCCCGCGCTTCCGAGTCCGACGGGCGACCTGGAACGGCTGGTTTATGTAATTTGAATACCCATTTTGAAGAACCCAGATATGGCGACTTTCCCATCAGGCTTGGGAGGACATGGGCGCGGCGTCAGTAGCAGCGGGCGCTGCAAACACTGATTGGGGACACGCGTGCATCTATGTCGTTGCAGGAGGTGGCCACATGGGGTACGCCACGGCCTTCCCTAAGTTTCCACTTGCGCCTACATCCTTGTGGATGGTACCCTTTTGCTGCACGCAGGCCCGTGCGAGCGCATGGAGCACCTTTCTTTCCAAGTCGTTAATTGTTCATTCTAGTTCGACACACATGTTTCGTTTATGCTTGTTGCAGTCCTGCTCCCATTTCCGCTATCATTCCTCGTCATCGTTTCCCACCTTTGTTTAGTATTAGTCTTCTTATATGGCATCAATTTCCTCAGCCTCCCTTCGTTTTCCAAACTCCATTGTTGCATCGTCATGCTTGGTATCGCCTTATCATCTTATCCTCAGCCGCAGTGTTCTCTTCTAGCCTTTTTAAGGGCTGTGCGCCATCTTTCTTGCATTCCTCCCTCCTGCCATACACGAGCGGCGATACCTTTCGAGACTTCCATGTGCGCCGTAGGCCTCCAAGTGCTGCTCAAGGGCCTAACCCCAGCATAATGGCAGCCGCATCGGCGCTTGATGCGCTTGCTGCCATGCCACCGGGTGCATCCGAGCATGGGCAGGAGAAAGCGGTGCAGGAGGAGTTCGATTGGGCGGGCCCAGGACCAGGATAAATCTCTCAAGGGCTGGAACGGCCACGGCGCCCCATACACCTTCTTGCTTGCTGGGTCTCATCTATACCGGTCCAAGTATGTCCTGGACTTGGGTTCGTCTTATCCGCACAGCATAGAGTGCCATGGACAACCAGGTAGAGAGAGGGAGAGAGAGAGCGTCTGGACCTGGAGAGGGGGATGATGAGGAGCATCAGAATCGTTTTAATTTTCCCATCCCTGAATGAGTCTTTGTGTCTAAGCCCCACAAGCCCACCCTCTTAGGTGGGCCACGCGAAATTCGAAGGGATAGGCATACATCCCCACCTTGGTGGTTCAGTCGGCCAGTGGGGCCAAGGCCACGTAGATGGGGATAGGGATCTGCGAAACGATGCTGAGGCACACCGCACAAATACCGTGGGCCAGCAGGTTGAGAGAGAGAGGATGATAAGGACCAGTATTGGTATCAAGCACAGGAGGAAAACGGAGGAAGAAGAGGAGGAACAGCAGCAGCAGCAGCAGCAGCAGAACGAGGGGATGTGGGGGAAGTTTCGGGTTCGAAGTTAGGTTTTCGTGTGTGGGGGGGTCGTGGCGATTTTCCAGCATCGGGGTGCTCTCTAGCAGCTGCGCCTTTTCGACTGGCGTCCAGGGGTGCTCGGATCGTCCCGATCGGTCGCCGTAGAGGTGAGTTATGGCTCGGAGGCCATGGCCGGGATGCGAGAGCACAGGCGAAGGACGAGCATCGTATAGGTTGAGGGGAAGAGGAGGATGAGGATGAGGAGAAGGAAGGAAGGACGGAGTGATGAAAAAGATGAGGAGTGGGAGGGGGAGGAGGAGAGGGGAGGAGGAGAGGGAGGAGGAGGAGGCGGAGGAGGCGAAGGAGGGGGAGGATAATCGAACAGAAGTGAATGGGAGGCAGCAGCGCGGCAACATAAGGGTGGCACCGAGAGGCCACTGAAATGCCACCCTAGCTCCAGACATGTGCCGACATGCGCACCCTTCTCCACCCCACCGGTAATTCCCGTCCACGGTCCGTTTCGATCCGATGCTATTCTGATATCCCAACGATCCGATGCGGCCCGATGTCAGCGTGGCGTCGTTGTACATTTTGGCGCAGCCGAACCGATTCGATTTCGATTCCGTGCCGATGCAGCGAGATCCGATGCGCATTTTTCTTCCGATCCGATGTGCCGATTCGGAGTTGCACCCGACGTTGCCTTCAGGTCCCGCTAGCTCCGTACCATGGCTCACGTGCGCGTCCGCGTGACACGTCTGTTGTGCATATATGTGTATATATGTGTATACACACACACACTTACATATACATAAGCACTTTCCAAGATTATATATGCACATATACATGCGTGTCTGTATACATTTATCTGTAGACATACACACCTATATTTATATATATATGTATACTTATACGACCACCCTTCGGGTGATAAGGAGGTTGTGGGGGGGGGAGAGGGGGGAAGCCAACATCCAACTCAATCGATCGCACTATCGATCTCACTCCACGGGACACCAAGTGACACTTGTCGATCTCACTATCGATCTCACTATCGGTCTCTTTCAACGGGACACCACGGGACAACGGGATACCACGGGACACCGCGGGACACTTCTCGATCTCACAATCGATCTCACTATCGGTCTCACGATCGATCTCACTCAACGGGACACCACGGGACACCTCGGGGCACCACATCGATCTCAGTATCGATCTCACGATCGATCCCACTCAACGGGACACCACGTGACACGACGAGACACTTGTCGATCTCACCATCGATCTCACAATCGATCTCACTCAACGGGACACCACGGGACACCTCGGGGCACCACATCGATCTCAGTATCGATCTCCCCATCGATCTCACGATCGATTTCAATCAAGGGGACACCACGGGACACCCGCGGGACACTGGCGGGACACCGCGGGGCACCGGCCGCCGGAGGAGTTACGTTTGGTCCGGCCGCGGCCCAGCCATAGGAGGATTCGGGACACCATCGGGACACCGGCGGGACACCGCGGGGCACCGACCGCCAGAGGAGTTACATTTGGTCCAGCCGCGGCCCAGCCACAGGAGGATTTTTTCTCGCCCGCCCGCTCAGCATCGCCTCGCCCGCACGCGCGCACGGCACGCACGACACGAACCCGAAACTGAAATCGATTTCCCGGTGCGGGGGGTCTCCGTTTCACGTCGGATTCACCCCCCAGTTTCCGATCTATATATATATATGTATATATATAATGTATATGCATACGTGTGTGTATATATACACATATCAATATGTTTCCATGCATACACACGTATTCTCAATGTTTGCGCATTGTTGTTTGTCGCCGTCCTTTGGCGCCGTCTGTTGCTCTGTAGTTCCTTTCTGATGCAACACGCCTCCCACTTCGCGATCCAAGAGTTTGCCCATCGCGCTGTTGGGACGCGCGCCTGGGTGCCCGCCGTGTGATCCGCAGCTGCATTGCCAAGCGCCGACGCCGCGCGTGTGCACCTGCGTGGGCCCGAGCTGGACAGCCATGGCGGCAGTGTTGTTTTGTGCCTTCGCGGCGGAGGCCAGCTGGCAGCGGGCTCAGCCAGGTGGTCCGCAAGCGCCCTCGGCAGCAGGCGACAGCCTCGGGCAGCTGGCCCACTGGCAGGTGTTGCTGGTCAGGCGCCGCGACCTCGGGGCGATCGAAACCGACAGGGCCTGATGGCGCAGGCGCGGGCAGGACACTTCATGCTGGTAGAGTACGATGTGGGCGGCCCGCGCGTGCTCCACCAGAGGCTGGTGGTGACCGCGGATGCGGGTCCGCCCTACAGGTTCTTCGGGGTCTCGCCTGATGGTGACTGTTATGCAGAGGCGCCGCTGATCGAGGGCGGCGACATCAGGGCCTTCCTCGTCCAAGAGTCGGCCGGAGCACTGCCCGGGGGCGTCGATGTGCGGGGCCGACGACATTCCAGACCAGTTGTACGCTGACGGGCTGGCATTGATCGGAGCGGCGGAGATGCAGGTCGACCCGCCCGAGCTGCCGCTGCACGTCGCTTGGGCGTGCCGCAGCGGGGTGACTCCGACGGCCTGCCGCTGGAGGATGCCGCGGCGCCCGGGCCTGGCAGCGACGGCCTGGCGCTGGAGTTCCCGCCTACTCCTGCGCGGTCGGGCTCGGAGGCGGGATCCGCGGTCTAGGACGGGCTGGGGGCCCCCCCCAGGGTGCCAGGAGGGCTTTGCCTGCACCCGAGAGGCGGCCCGCCGGCACGGCGCGCCCGCCTTCGCCAGGCCCCCCCCCCCCAGTCGCTGCTGCCAGCGGCGCGGGGGGCGGGGGGGGGCGCCCCAGCTCCCCTTGGACCTGAGGGGTCGCCCGAGGTTGGCCTCGCGCCGCCGCCGACGGCGCCAGCCCTGCTGAGGAGGTGCGCTCTGGAGGCGCGCGCGGGGTATCAGGGGGGCGACCTGGTCGCTCACCGCTTGCCGCATGGCGCTGCATCGCTTGGCGTCCGCGCGATCGCCCAGGTGGGGGGCCAGCCGCTCGCGATCGGTCAGATGACGGCGGGGGGCGCGGCGGCCTCGGCGAAGGGTGATCTTCGCGCGTTGCCGGTGTTCTAGGGCGAGCGTCGCGGGGCAATTGCAGACGCGGCTGCTCTCTCCAACGAGAAGGCGGCGCCCGGCGGTTTCAGCGCGTCAGGTCCTCGCACGCTGACGTAGACGCTGAAGTATGTTCGAAACAACGGTGGGTCTTTCTTCGCCGATCATGAGATCTGGGTGCGCATGCGCGTGGTCGCCGCTGGGGATAGGAGCGTCTACGAACGCGAAGTGATCTCCAGGGTGCTGGACGCCGCTGCGTCGCCGGACCAGCTCAACCTGCCGTCGCTGGAGTCCTTCGAGCTCTTGTCCAGGCGCACGGCGCTGATCAAGGAGGCGCGCAGGCTCGACCCAGCCCAGCCCGACTACAGCCTGTAGGACATCTTCATGGGTTGGGGAGCTCGCTCAGGAGGCGCCGCCATCGCGCCGCAGCTGGCAGCCCACGTCGCTTCGGGGGCGCGCTGCGAGTCGGCCATCGCGAACTTCATGAGCTTTTTGCACTTACGACTTACTAAATCGGTTGTACCAGGTTACGTGTTATGTACTTATAACCACTTAACATAACTCCCGCTAAGTTCTAACATTTTTGTATTGGCAAAAAGCTAACTCATCCTAAGTCGAAGTTAAGTGTCGGAAGTTATGTGTAAGGTTACTTGGAAACGCCGCGGCGAAAACTCACTGCAAGGCGCCAGATACACACGCACACACGCAAACGCACACACACACACACACACGCACACACGCGCACGCACACGCACACATACACGCACTCACACACGCACACGCACACACACGCACACGCACACACACGCCCACACACACATACGCGCACACACACACACACACGCACACGCACACGCACACGCACACGCACGCGCACACGCGCACGCACACGCACACGCACACGCACACGCACACGCACACCTCCTGGCCCGAACGCTGAGGCTGGCGAGCCGAACGCCGCTGGCATCCAGGGCCACCGCTTCCGAGGAGATCTCATTCTGAAGGCTTGGAAACTCAAGGCCCGTCTGAGCAGCGGCAACACACCCATCGAAGACATCGTGAAACTGTCCATGGAACTTGTGTTGGATCGAGGGGCATGCGGGGAGCTACAGGCCAAGTTAGACTCAGGGGAGCTCAGGCTTCCACGGCCGACTGTCTTGAAAAAAACAGGGAGCCGCCTCAACTATGTCGACCTTCTCTGGCAGCGGGAGCTTCACAAATGCTGGGATTTTGAAAGACACTGGAGCGCGGATGCTAGTCCGCAGGGAGGCTTCCACTATTTCATTATCTTGGAATCCAGGACGCAGTGGAGGAAGGGCGGGGGGCGACCACTTCAGACAACCCTGAAGTGGAGGCACATGACAGCAACAACTT